TAAATCGTAAATTTCGTTATACTGTCACGGTTTTAGTTGGGTTATTTTTTTATACGCTTTTTTATTAACGACCGAGTCACATTAAATGAAAAAAAAATGACCTTTTTAAAGTTTTAACTGGATTTCTCCCCCTCAATCAATTGATAAGAACAATATAATATCGTACGGTTATTATTATATGCGTGAAACTTTTCGGAAAATTTTATAGCACGCCGTAAATTTATTTCCACACGATTTTAAAACGTTTACGTTACGTATCGTATACACGCGAAAGAATCATGTTCCGTAAAAAAAAATCGAAATGTAGTCACGCGTTGTTTTTTTTTTTTTTTAATTTTTAGATTCTGAGCGAATACGTATCGGTTACAATGTGCGTGCGCGTATGTTTTTTTTTTCGCTACGCGTGTCTGAAGGAAACGGCTTTTCAGGAATCTCGCTCCAGTCATCTATTTGAGGTGTGATTTCCGGTAACAGATTTTCCGAAATCGATCCGTTATTGAGAGGTAGTTGGTATTTTTTTTTTATTTTCTTTGTAATTTTCTCAATAGTCGGTGAAAATTCGATGAAAAAAAACAGAAAAATGTACGCAATAACGGTTTCTTTTATTTTCGATTCCGTCGTGTCATATTCGAGGTTAGAAATAATCGTGGATCATCAAAATGTTTAAAATATTTCGGCGATATCCGATCCGTTTTCTATAAACATTCGAAATGTTCGTGGTTTTTTTTTTATTTTTTATTCGGTTTCGGCCTAGTATAATCGCTTAAAAATTTAACACGGCGTTCGTCGTAAGTTGCAATCGTGTATCGTAATGTTGGTAGTTTTTTTTTTTTTTAACGTGTTGCCCGTTTAAATGATCGACGAAATAAAAAAAAAAAACAAATCACTGCGTTTCAAACCACATTTAATCGGATTTCACCCAGAATCGTTTTACGTTTAATATACAGTACAACTCTGCTGTTTTTTTACGTGTAATTCGTTCGGAAATAACAAAATTATACGATACGACGCGAATAATTCCACCAAAGAGAGGAGTCAACAGTATGTATGTTTTTATAATAATTTTTTTTTAATATTTCAATAATTTAAAAAAAAATTTACGCATATATATATATATAAACATTTGCAAATTGTATAGAGAAAACGTATAAAAAAAAAAAAAGCTGTCTTAGGATAATGGGGACGGGTGCAGCCACTGTTATAGGTAATTTAATGAATACCTGTAAGCAACGATAAACCATCGCCAAGGATAAAAAATGATTCTAACCGGAGTTCAGTTGGTAGTAATGCTTTATCCACAATATATATGTCATATTATGGTGAAATAATTAAACAGGCATTATATATTATCTTCAACAATATTGTTTAGTAATAATATTTTCTCGATTTTTCCGTTTTTCTTATGTTTTTCCCGGTGTTTCGTATCTGTTGAGAAAACCCCTGGGAAAATCGAAAAATGACCTATTTAAAGCACCTTTCAAGTTAGATTTTATTTTATAAAAAGTGCATAAATCGGAGCACAATTGCTGGTAGAAAAGTTGTCTTAAAAAAAAAAAAAAAAAAATCACACATCTTTGTAAACCATATAAGTTTTTTCGTTTCACTCAGAATCTAAAGTGTGTAATACAGTTTTTTATGACAATACGTGGCGATCTATGATTACCCAATCACAAAAATACCCGATGAACAATAAACACAATAATAATTCATAATCGTATTGTTCGTGTAGTCGTGATTGAAACATTAACGCTAAAAAATTCCAAGAGGGGGTTTAACCATCGCCTCTCTCCCCCCCCCCACGGCTACGCCGCTGTTATAATATAATCTTACAAAACTCGATCGATATAATAATATGAATCGTCGTTAGATAACCGAAGCGAACGAAACAAAAAAGGAACAAACGTTCTTTTTTTTTTTTCGTCCACAAGGGCCGCGATACCGATATATTTAGTATTCGGAAGAGTATACGCATGTGCAGTACACACGCGGTAAAGATATGTGTGTCAGCTCTGTCGATGAGCAATACAACTATTATTGTCGACGTGTGTGAATAATATAATAAATTGTTTCGTTTCGCAAGTCCACTGGTTCGTATAATATTATGATTATTGTTGCTTAATTTTCGGTTTGATAAAAATCGTCGTAATATTTATAAAATTTCACTTTTAATCCTATCAACCGGGCCAATCGTAACACGAGTCCTGTACCCTGCCCAACGCGTCGGCTCGCTCGTCCACAATACCGCGTTGTTTGATTCGATTATTGTGTCTATGCGAACCCGTCCCCTTGAACGGGAACGCGGGATTTTCGTATTTATTCACAATAATATAATTGGAATAATAAACGACACGACAGCGGTGAGGGAAAATCGTTAAAACAGATTCTCCTCAACTGTCGATTAAAATGAAAAAAAAAAATAAAAATGTCCTCTGCCGGCGTGGAACACGAAAATATGTACACAGAAGTTTCCCACGAAGATCGTTCCGATAACTCGAAATGGATTAACTTTTTTCGGAAATTTTTTTTAACAATCTAAAAAACAAGTATAATAGTTCTAAAACGTTACATATCAATAATTTTTTCGTCGACCTGATTCTCGGAAAGTGAACCGACTGCTTACTTACGATTTTCAAATGGTAACCATAGTAGTCCCATCTCATTTGGGTTGTGCGGCGGCACAGCTCGCGACGTTTAAATAGACGTGGTGATATTTTAGAGCTATACTATCGTTACTTAAATTGTCGTAAAATGTGCCGGAAAAAGTCAATACTTTCCGAGATGTCGTAATGATCGTATGTCCGTGAGACACCCTGTATAATTTACACTATCGATATTATATAAGGTATTCGACGAACATCTATCGTTTAATTTGAATTCTCGTAAAATTCAGTTTTATTATATTATTATATACATATATATTTTTTTTATTTTTTTTTTTTTTTGTGTGTGGCGCGTACACGATAGTAAATTATTATTCCAGTCATTCTCCTCGTCGAAGTGTATGCGTATATTGGTATTGCAGAATATTCGGACAACAGAATAATGAATGATTTCGAACCGTAGTCGTCGCGATGTTTTAATTAAGCGACGTCGTCGGCCGTCGAGTTCAATTGGGTACAAATATACGAACCAGGTTTTAAAAAAAAAAAAACGCTTGTAAATACACAGTGTCGGCAATAAGGAACACGTTGCTAAAGGAGTGGAATCATGGAATCGATTCTCTTTCAGAGGACGGAACGAAGGAATTGATTTTATTATTTTTTAAAGGAACAGAAACGTGAATTATTTCGTTATTTTTAGGAAAGTGAGTATTGTAATTCTTTTGTTCTTCTCTGAAATGTGATCTAAAACACATTTGGAGAGAACAAAAAATACCTTTTTTAAAACATTCTAATAACACTGTAAATACATAATGTAGCAATTTGTCAAGGTTTCTCATCAATTAAATAGATATTTTTAAATTTTTAAAAATTAATTATATTCCATCCATACTCTAAATCATCTGGTCTAATAAAAAAAAAATGGGTGCTTTGACCTCTGGAAATATTCTGACGGGTGCACAAGTCCTCATGTATACATGACACCCATGGGTACATTATGCAATTAAAGGTCGAGATTCGAAAAAAAGTAGATAAATACTGGACGGTGAATTTATAATGACATGGATATCGCGGTGGCCCTTTCAGGACATTTTTTTTTTTATTCTGCATGCACGTCTGTGTAAAATTCCGTTTATATATTATTATAGCCTTTTATTAGGCGTCTAACATGAACAAATTATATTTATTCATGCTTATATATAATAGTGTGAAAAAATGCCGATACCGTTGATTGGCGGTTTGCCCCTGTTTTGGGAGATTAAGCTGAAAGGAAGGATATATGTGAGAGTGATTTTAATTACATCCGTGCATAATGAAAAACGATTCTGACCGGAGTGCATCGGTAGTCATATAATTACATTGATTGTTGTCAAGGCGTAACCCCGAAATCGATAAAAAATTGAATGGAAAATTATCGATTTTTCTAATTTATCGAGAAAACTACACGGAAAATCATGTAAATCGGTGTAAACCGAATAGACGGAAAATCCGACCAGAAAGCCCGTACAAAGTTTTTGACCGGAGCATCGATTTTCGGGAGGAAAAGTTGTTTACAGGCGAAAAGAAAACCGCGCACGCACACAATGGTAAAACCGATATATCCGTCGCAGAAAAAAATGAAATTTTTCATTAGAACCCGTGCCCTAATTACGGACATTTTCCGAAGTAACGGCGGCCAGTCCGAAATGTGCAGTATAAAAGACGAATGGGCCGATACCATTTTGTACCGATATCTGACATTCGGATATATACTACCGATATCCGACATTTTCGATCGAAAACCGCGAGTAATTAATGTTGAAATAAACCGACATTTTCGATCGAAAACCCGATTTATTAACACTTTTTTTTTGTTTTTATACAATCCAAAGACAAAATCGACATTTGTCTTCGAAAATATCGGTGAAAAAACACGTGCCGCGCCGATATCAAGTGTCGGTTTTATGACTTGTCGGCCCGCCGCCGGCATAAGACCAGCGATCCTTGTGGTCGGAGAGTACCGTCCCTCCCTATAACCACCACCACCGTCGCCGCCGATTTTCGCCCCATTTCGTTTTCCCCGCCCCCCCCCGGGCGTTTCGGGCACTCCGTATACCATCGTACAGGTATGCGCAATGTCGGCGTTTTATTACATTATAAAATCGTCTCAGAATATTATGCAGGTATACTTACCAAACGCAAATGTTTGCATTTCATTTGCGCGCGAACGTCCGTATCGGCGCGAAACCGATTACAATTGGAAAACCGCGGTACTCCAAGCGCGACGTGGGTCGGCGGCGAGGGATTCCGGGCCGGCGTCGGCGGCGGATACGGGGACCGCGGTGGGTCAGCGCCGTCGCTGCTGCGGTCGGCCGCGGGTTCCGCGGACGCAAAGGTCGGGGACGGTGCTCGTCTACCGGCGGGGCGGGTGGTTCGAGAACCGCGGGTGTTCCGGCGACGATTACGCGAAAAGTCCGGCGTCAGAGCGTCACACGTCCCCGGTTGTCGCGTTCGCGCGTTTACCGGACCGGTGCGTTCAAACGTTGCGTACGACGCGCGCGCGCGTTTCCCGGCTGCGTGCGTACCGGAGGACGCGGGAAAAACGATAGTTTAGAAAAAAAAAAAAAATTAAAATATAGAGAAATGAAAATGAAAACGTACGGGCGAATACCGCGGGCGATACGGGCGAGACGACCGACCGCGTTCCGAACACCACCGGCGGGGGCGGAAAACGGAAAGAAAAAACGAAAAAAAAATTTAAAAAAAAAAAAACGAACGACCGCGTTTTATCGTTTCGAGTGTCCGGCGACGAAATTTCAGACAGCCGTCGCACGTCTCCGTGGTCATAAGCGATAATGATAAAATAAAATAATAACATTATGACACAGCCGTGTATATACCTACTCGGCGGCGGCGGCGGCGGTGCATGCCAATGCATTTTGACCTTCGCGAAATGTCCGGGAGAGAGGGACCGCCGTATACCTGAATAATGTTCCGGCGTTATTAGGTGTATCGCACGGCCGCGTGTGGCTCTTTTGATTCCATGTGCGAAACACGAGCGGCGCGCGCGCGCATAGTACGAGAAAGAAAAAAAAAAACAAAAAAAAAATCGGTTTTTTTTCTAATTTTTTCAATACGTATCCGCACGTCATACTATTGTTGTTCCGAATCGTTTCCTACGGCGCCGTAGCTCGGCTCCGGTGTCGCGCGGCATAGGCACGCGAATTTTTTCATTTTTTCATTTTTTTTTTTTTTTTTTTTTTTCTTAGATCCCGAGCCGAGCGAACAACGTATAATAATCGGCTTTTCGGCGACGTTGATTTTTTTTTTTCCTACAGCTTTTACTACCGGTACACTCGCTCATCCGATTTTCTACTGCGGCGCTTTTTCCGCAAAAGAAATCCGACCGGGGCGGTACTTTAGGCAGGCGATTCTACTCCCCGGCAGTTTTTTCATAGTAAATGGGACATTTACGAACCGTCAACAGTATACGTACACTATAGTATAGTCCTTTCGGTAAACAAGCGCGACCGAACTCCGCTCAGAATCGTTTTTTTCGTTAGCAAAGATCAATCGTTGTACAATATACGTGTATATATTCGATTTCCTCATCTCTAACATTTCCCGTTTCTCACACACAACAGCCCAAAGTATGTCCGTGTTTTTAGATTCTGAGTGTAACGAATAATGTATTGGTTTCACAAAGATGTTTATTTTTTTTTTTTTTAAACGCTTAATCTACCAGAAAGCTCACTCCGATGTATCTGACGTAGACGTTTTTCTGAAAACAGTCATTCATGTCTTATATATTGTTGACAGAGCATCGCTATCAACTGAACCCCGCTGAGAATCGCGTTTTCGTTAGCAACGGTTTACCGTCCCCGTTATCCTAGGACAGCTTTTTTTCATTTGCGATCGTTCCGCCGCCGGGATATAGGTAATGGGTGTACTCGCGCGACCGCGTATAACGCTCGCACACCTCGGATACCTGCTCGCGCCAATTTTTATTACTGTTATTTTACCCATATTAATTTTCGGTTTCGGCCGTGTCAGAATTTGATGAAAACAACAAACAGGCGGAAAGTGGGCAGTCCGCCTTCGGCGGCGGGCTAAACGCGTTCCATTGCGAAATGTTAACGGTGCAAATAACAGTAACAATCATAACCCTTTTATGACCCTTTAATAAGCAAAAAAATGGACAAACGAGCAATTAGATATTCGTGCCGGATATGCCTGAAATATACCCCTGTTCTGAACACACCTTGGGTGTCGAGTTTACAGAAAAAAAAAAAAAAAACCCTTTCCCGTTGCGCCGCGGCGATAGTGTTAGATTGACCGGTGTTCCGGATTTCAAGCGCGTGCGTTGAGCGGTTTTCCAGATACGGCGGCGATCGGCGTGCCGGCGGTACTCGGGGTTCGCACATTGGGTAGCGGGGTTCGCGGCGCCGCCGTGACAAAGACGACGCGCGCGTTTGTCCGCGCGCGTCCGGACCTCGCGATGACAGCCGACCCGGCCGAAAAACGCCGCGCGCGCGTCAAATACAATTAATAACGCGACGTGTTGTGTACCTCCCGCGTAGCACAACCGACGGCGCCGCCCCGGCGCCGGTGCGAGCCGCCCCGGCGTGCCGTACACCGGCGGTCGTCCGTGCGGCGGACGTGACCGGAATCCACAGGCGGAGATCTGCGCGGCCGTTCCGTACCGTCGCGTCGTCGCGGCCGGCGGAACGGCGCGGCGGTAACCGGTGGCGGTTTAGGTCAAACTTCAAACACCGTGTTGACGGGGGGGAGGGGGCGGGCGACGGGCCGGGCGGCAGCGGTCACTCGTTCGTAGAGAACACGGGGCGCGTAGCCTGCCGGCGGCACAGCCGGGTCCCCCGGCGTTTGCTCGAATCGCCCACCTAATCGCCCCCGGGCGTACACCTCAAACTGCAGCATCAAGCGCACGCGGATTGATGTACCGAATACCTACGTACGGTAACACTGGGCGCAAACGAATATTATACGTTTCGAATGTTGTTCAATCGAAAACTTCGCGTTATTTAAGTACAAAATCGATATTTCTTTATTGGGCAAGTTTTTTTTTTTTTTTTTTGTACACGTTCAACCGCTCAAATTCAACTAACGTGACTCCAATTGATAATTCCATTTTATTCGCGGATAAATCTTTTGAATAAATCGCTATGGACGCTAAAATTCATTGTATACCGAATGCAACAACGTTATACCGATTGCGGTAGTAAAAAGTGAAGTTTCGATCCTTCATTCAATTCGAGGCCGCGGGAATCGTCATCAATTTAATATCGATCAATAGAACACTATTAAAACCGTTATATCTGTATAATATTAAAATCCAAGGGGTGAGGAGTCCATATCGCACCCCCCCCCCTAAAAACCGCCACTGGCAATAACAGCGAGTGTAGGCGAGCGCGATTGATTATAATAATATACACTATATGGTATAAGCGAGATACGCACCTAAGCGAGCGCTCGATCCGAGATCGACGTGCGAAATAATACGGATTGTAATGCACGTGGTTCGGTCCGAATAAACGGCAACGACCCGTGATCACGGTGACAAATCCGTGAATAACAATAGTCGTCCTCCTCATCGACAGACCGATCCTCTTCTTGTTTTTCGGCTTTTACGTTATTTGAAGGGCTTTGCCGCCTCGACTATCCTACCCGCCTTGCCTCCTCCGTCAATCACTATCGACGCTGTCCCGACGCTGTTCCCTGTTGGCAATCGTTCACCCTGTCTATATAAACAGTGCTGTCCAGGGTAACCCCTAGGTTTTTTCCCGTTTATTTTCCCTTCCGTAGCTTTCTTCAATATCCAGTTTGACCTTCGGGTATGGCCTGCTCACTCGATTCGTATACTCACAATATGATTGTCATTGATTCCTGGTTTTAGGTACACGAGTTGTACATTTCTCTATTAGTTCTTCTTCTATACACTTCATTTTCTAAAAAAGTCCATAAACATTTTTCTAAGTCCTCTTCTTTCAAAAACAAGTCATTTCTTCCTCGTCGCCTTTAGCAGTCAACCAGGTTTCGTTGACGAATTAGCGATTAAATAAAAAATAGACGTCCTAGGATAATGAAGACTAGTGAAGCCACTATTATAAAAAAATTAATGCATATCTGTAAGCAACGATAAACCATTGCTTACGAAAAAATGATTTTGAACGGAGTTCAGTTATTAGTGATGTTTTGTCAATAATATACCCACAAGTTTATAGTAAAATAATTAAATAGGCTTTATATATTTTCTCTAATAATATTTGTTTAAAGTTTTACCGATTTTCCCAGTTTTCCTACGTTTTTTCCGGTTTTCCCATGTTTTATCCCGGTTCTCCGCATTTGCCTGAAAAACTCTTAGGAAAATCAAAATATGATATCCCAAAGTACCATTCCAGTCAAATTCCCTTTTGAAAACATTGCTATCATTAAAAGTTAGAGAAAAATCGTGTACAGGAAAAAGACATCATACATTTTTAGTTGTATATTGCGTACATTTTTCGGTTTTTCAAATGTGATGAGAAAACTCCTGAGAAAATGACTTCCTTCAAGAACCTTCCTATTCCTTTCAGAAAAGGTGCTACACTTAGAAATCCGAGAAAATCATTTGGTAGAAAAAGTGTTTACAGATAAAAAAAAAAAATAAAAAAATCTTTGTAAAATCGTTAGCTTCTCTGCTCTTCTCAGAATATAAAATATTTTATTAATTATTACAGACAATATCAAAACCCGGAGAACTTAGAGGAGAAAATTCCATCGATATGAATTTGAATTGAGGACAATAAAGCCTCTGATCAAAAACCATACTATAATATACTATATACTATATTATTATAATAATGATAAAAAGAAAACCACAAATATTTATTATACTTATTATTTTAGGTTAATAAAAAACACAGGCAATTCGAAAACAATTTTTAAAAGCATGATTTTCGTATGTTATCGGTGTACACAAAAAAAAAAAAAAACAAATCGAATTAATTAAATTCGTATTACATTTTTCCTACGGCGGGCTTTTTTCTCCGTAAATACCGTAAATTTAGTTGAAATTAATGTTTGTCATTTTTTATGATTTATACCGATCCGTTGATCGGATACCTATACTCGATTCAAGTTTTTGTCTTTATGAAAGACACTACAGTGTTCTACCGAAAACTGAATACTAACATGATTATTATCAATAGATTTTTTATTTGATTATTTACTACCGCGATTTATGATGTACTATTATTGTATATTGATTGTAAATAAATTCAATCGCGTTTTAAGTTTTTTTTTTTTTTTTTTTTTTTAAAGTAATTTTTTCGATCCGACAATATAATACATTTTAACGTTTTCATCGGAAACATTCTACTTTTCAAATCTGATTATCTGCGACTAAGCCGTCCAATTTAAATCTAAACGCCACGATTTATTTGTTTCATACGAGTATGGCGCAATTGTGCTGCCGTGTCGCTCGATGTTACAAAGTTGGTCCGAGAGAGTGAACGCGACGTGAGTGGGGGAGGGCGTGATAGCCTGCTCTTGAAGCATCTTTTAACGTCTCGCGTATGCTGTTTTCGAAACGTTACCGACATTCTTATCCTTTAATGGATGTGTATCCGCTTTGGATTTTCAAAGGTACAACATTATTATAGGCACGCGCGCATGAGGTAATCTAATATTATTTGTTTCGAAAGTTTAGACTAAAGTTGAACGGGTACATAATAATATCAACGGCGCGCGCGCGTGACGTTACCGTATCGTTTCGTTATATGCGCACACCCCGGAACGTGAACAATCTCAAAGTTATTATAATATCCACGCGCGTCGATATTGCGTATGAACAATACGATTTTTACCCGACGGAAATTCGAAAATCGAGCGACCTAGACATACGCGGAACAGAAACAGTAGCGAAAAATAGTGAAAAACCGGGAACAAATATTGGGGAAAAAACGGGAACGATATTAAACAGATGTTGTTAAAAAAAATATATGCATAATAATGCGCAATAATTACTTCACCTATATATATATATATACGTTACGTGTATATTGTTGACAAAGCGACATTAATTAACCGAATTTCGCTCAGAATCGGTTTTTCGTTGCGTGCATATAAACACTGAATTCCCACTCTACTCTCATACACCTACTCAACTTCTCATCTACGACGCGCGAAGAACTGGCTGATTATAGCCGTCCCGTATTTACGCGGGACGATTTTCAGGTATTCGACGTTGAACGCGAACGCCGCTGCATTGTACAAAATACCGTCCGGTGCGTAATACTAGTAAACTATTGTAGCCTGTAGATGTATTATTGTGTCACGGATGTTTCCTGTAAAGATTCCGGCAAAGAAAAAAAAAAAAAATGTTTCTTTAAAAAAAAAAAATAAAATATCTAATGTAAAGTTATAATAAGTAATAATAAGGTAATAAATAATAATATTAGTATTATAATATGGTCGACGACATCGGACGACCTTGTGCGAGGTGCGTGTAGCTATAATACCGATGATGGTTACAGGTTACTGCCGTGCGGAGGACACCGGAGAGTTTTGCCGATCGGGAAGGGGAAAAAAAAAATAAAAACAATATGTACAAACTGTCGGCTATTATTTTTACTTTTTTGCGTTCTTTTTTTTTTTTGCTATGGGCATTAGGTCGTTATACTACATACACGGATGTAGCGCAGCGATCGTAAGTATTGTTGTTTCGGGCACAACAGCGTTCGCGCTATTATGGAGCAATTGTTGTGCGTGTTATCTAGATCTTCTCCGTCGCATTCATCAAAACTATACGTGTGCATTTTTTTTCTCTCTTCAAATTCAATAAAATAAAAAAAAATGCGCAAGTGCCATTGTAATCGAACTACACAAACATAACCGGCCGTTTCCCGATTGGGAATAGTCAATAGTATTTTATTACAAACCTGCAGGTTATCTTAAAAAAACCTGACGATTTGCGTAGTTATAACGACAATCAACGATACTTATGGAAATCGCTCACGGTGTACCGAGTTTTCCCCGATTTCGTAAAATTTATAAAGAAAAAAACATTTTTATACAATATTAATGATCACCTTCAAGGTAAAAATTTTCCACTAATCTACCACACGATACCCAATTTTATTGGAAATTGGTACGGACGCTGCTACAAAATATGTCGTTTTATACCGAAAACTCCAACCAAACTGTAGGAATTGCGTTTGACTAAAATACACACCGTCACCGATACCCTTAAGCAAGAGTTACGGAGGGGGAATAAGAGGGGCTGTAGCCCAGGGCCTGAAGACGAAGAGGGTTACAATGTAACGTCTTTGTTTTTATTTTTCAATTTTATTTAGATTCTGAGGGTGGCGATGAAGAAACCGTATTCGTTTTACGACTATAGATAGATAGATAGATGGATAGTCAATAGACACGTTTCGTTTTTTAACGGCAAGCACTTTTTCGGTAAAATTGGTTCGTGTTTTTTTTTTTATCTCGTCGTCTTAAAAGGTGCAGATTTTTTGCTTAGCGACACTTTATTTGAAATATCTATTGACATTTTCAGATGTTCACTCCTAGGACCTTTTTAAGTTTTTTTGAAATGACCAGTACCTACCTGGTTTCGTATTGATTTACAAATGTTACACTGATATACCATATCGGTACATTGTGTTTGTATTGATGGCGACTGCTGTGAACACCGAAACAAATGTACGCCGGGTCGCCGAATACAAACGCACAAATTGGAATTGAAAAATCGACAACGGCCGTGATATGCGGTCCCGAAAGAGACGACCCGAACCGCGCAATATCCGCGGCGATTTTATTATTCTACGTTATAAAACGTACCGATACATTGTCCGACGCACTATTGACAAAACGCATTGCCGTAATATTTATCGACCGCGAACGGTACGATAATATTATCGCCGGTGTTTCGGAAACGCATCGGATATCCGTACACTCGAACGCCAAGGGCGCAACGCAAGGCGCTATCGACGGGTCCTTGTCGGCGATTGTTGATAATAAATTATCGCGATTTCTGGTACCTCCAATGTCGTTGACGATCACTCCGTGGTAAACTACGGGATCCGTAACAGTATCGCGTGTAAACGCGTCGCGACAGTTTTTGTCAAAACATATCGCAATAATATTTGATATTCCGAACCGCCTCGGCGCGGCCGCGAGCGCCCCGTCGAGTGATGACCGACCGTGTAAACCGCGACGGCGGAAATCGAGCTGTCACTTTTTTAAGCGTTAAAAAATAAATTATTTTTATTATGTCTTCGCGGAAGAGGGAAGGGCGGGGGAAACGTATGCGACCCGCTGTTTTCGCTCTGAAACCCGTTGTCGGAGCCACGACACAAAACCAAAATCGATATCTCATCTCGTGTATAATAACAAAATATCCGCACACCGCGAGTAAACGCTACCGAGTTCAAATCGTTCGAACTGTTATTGTCGAAAATGGGCGATTTCTCTCTTTTTTTCTTTTTTTTGTTTCTTCCTCCGCCGACCGCAGTTGCAATCCGCTATTTTTTATGCGTCGCGTAACGGATGCGGTATCCCGTCAAAATCTGATTACTTGTTTAAACAACATGCGACTATGTATTTAAAAAGACGGACGTACTTCGCGCGATGGGCGGGCCACTGTTTTAAATGAGAATTCGGGAAGGTAGGATACGGAGAGCAATTTAATATATATTTGTACGCGACGGTTAATCGAGAAACGATTCTGAGCGGAGTTCGGTTATACACATGTAAACATGTTTTGAACGGCCGTAATATTTACAATCACTTAGAAATTTTATTATATAATTCTTACAAAAAAAATTCGGATAACATAGGTGGTGTAATAATACATCGGAACATGGGTTATCGGTAAAAATGATATCAGCTCGTCCACAAAAAAAAGTTAACTATCTATTAGACATAAAACAAGGTTATAAAACTAAAATTGTTACTATCAAAATTATGACATGATAACATACGAGTGACCTACTAACTGTAGTTACGATCGTGGATGTGCGGGCTTCAAGTGTTTATAGGAAACCTAGCAATTTAGTTTATTATCTATATCTGTAATGACTGATTTCCTATAGAGTTTAAATGGCTAATAATGGCTAATAAAAAATAAATAGTGACATATTCCGGGACGCATTAGAAGAAAAGCGTATTTTGCTAGAGAACCCTATGGAAATCCTGTTCTCCGATTGGCTATAATCTCAACGAAATAAAAAAAATGTCATTATCAGTTATGATTTTGAAATGTTTCAGTTTGTAAAAACTGAAAAGTGTTTCGTTTTATTAAAATACCATTCATAATAGATCAAATATTACATGTATGGAAGAAATATTTTTATTTTTTACGCAGGTAGGTTAGGTACATATTAAATTATTATTTCAGGATAAAAAATATTGTTGCGTAATTAAATAAATCATTCCATATGCTAAATGAAAAGTTGAAACATGAAGAATACACGTCATATGAAAATAAATAAATTACGAAATTTGGGATACACGTGACATTTAATCATTATCATTTTTGCCCTCACTACCTATCTTGTGCGTATAGATCAAAATACTTTGTTTTTATTGTCTGTAACTTACAATCAAACAAAACAAATTATAATATAATTAACTATTATTCACATCAACAAATAATACAATTTATTGTTACTGTTCGGTTTTTAGAAATTAAAATAATTATCGTATAGGTGTATACCTAAATAAAAAAAAAAAATGTACGAATCGTATTATTTAAAAATTGTGAATATTACGGCCTTTTAAAACATATTTATAACCGAACTCCGCTCGGAATCGTTTTTTTCGTTAACAAAGTTTAATCGTTGCGTACAGATATCGTACATTAAATTCCCTTTTATATCCTACCATCCAAACGTTTCATCTACAAGAGTGCGCCCACCCATCGTGCGAGGTATGCCCGTCTTTTTCAGTTTAGAAACATTATAGCCGTGTAACCACGACTTTGCTCGCGTGCAGTTCAAATGCCTGTACAGTTTATCTCGTGCATGTACACCCCTTCGGCGATTTCGGTCCGAATTAGTTTTTACCGGTCGAAATCTCCCGTCGCGACACATTTCGACCTTCCCGGGAACCAATATATTTGGTTTCAATTAACGGGTGTCTGTTGGGCAGGTACCCGGGAAAATCCGATTTCGGCTTTCAAACTATCAAAGGAGAATAAAGGGATTCCACTTGCCGCCGTAAGGAAGCATTTCGACCTTCACGGGAACATTATCCCCTATACTCCGCTCGCCGTCCCGCACCGCTTAGCCACGTCGAACGAAAACGTATTTTAATTTTTTTTTTTTTCTCATATTAAACGCGGTTCTTCGCGGCTCCCTGTTTCCATCCTTAGCCCTTTCAGAGTTAACCGTCGTTGGCCGTCGTATACAAATATAATAAAAGCTCTAATAGTGTACTGTGTGCATATAATAGTAACAGTAATAATAATATATATAAAATTATCGTGTCACAATGTTCGTTCCCATACTCCTCCGAGACGGCTTGATCGATTCTCATGAAATTTTATATGCATATTCAGTAGGTCTGAGAATCGGCTACTATCTAAGTTTGTATGCTCTGCGATAAGTGGTTCCGGAGTTATGGCCTCTTAAGTAAAAGTATACTAGCACGCACGATATTCAACAATTATTATTTTGCCATGGAGAGATAATATACACTCTATGTGGTTATTTTTTATTATTGGTTTCCGTGGCACCCGCGTGCCAATAACGATTGAGAACGGCTAGGCCGATTTGGCTAATTTTGCTAACCTAACCTGACCTATGTACGTGTGTTTTGCACATATTTCAATGCCAACAAAACGCAAAGGGGCTGATTTGAACCGTAATACGAGTAATACAAGCAATTAGCTATAATACGGTACACGCGCTTTCCCGCTGTCGAGCGTCCCCACTCCCTGATAAGTTAGATTAGGCTTAACTTCCTTTGAAATCCATCAACCCCCCCCCACCCCATTTAAAAAAAAATCGAGGACAGTGAAAATTTAAGAAACCAGGCTGTAATCGCACACACTAATGAAAGTCAAGAGCAACGCAATGAACGCCGTCGAGCTAATGCATCGAGACAGACTGGCCTGTCAACGAGTCACCGACACATTATAAAATAAAACTATTATAATTTTTATTATCACTATTATTTACACTATTCAAATATCACAATAGAACACATTTAGGCCGCCGCAGGTGGACTACCCACTTTCCACCCATTTGTTTTCAATCGACTCTAACATGGCCATTCCAAAACCAAAAATGAATATGGGTAAAATAATAATAATAAAAATTGGCACGGGCAACGCCGGGCGCGGGACAACTAGTAATAATAATAATAATAGTGTTCATTGTGTGTTTTCTTGCCCGTGACAGCAAAATTCAGACATCCACGCGTATCACCGAGGTAATCTACAGATCAACAAATCAAATTCAATTTTTTTTTTTTTTAAATCCTTTTTTAGTGAATGTGCCCTACGGTGTGAAATGGGCGGGACCCGTTTCGCTCAACACACATTTTATTCGTTTTGAAATTATGTCGGTAATAGTTTTTAAATAACAATTGAAACTCATTGATATAAAAACGGAGGAAAAACAAGAATATTATATAATAAAAACGTATACTTTTATACAGATCTGGTGCAATATTAGTTACGGGTTTTCAAAAAGCATGTGTAGACGTTTTAAAAAATAATGATAAATATTTTAAGATGACTTTCAAAATAACACTGTATGTATTTCAATTATTATTCGAAAACCATTATCAACTTAATTTTAAAATTACTAAAACGTGATTTGGGAGAAACGGGTATTTGTGCGAAATGGCAATGGTCGAGTTTAGGCGAAACGGGACGCGCCCTATAAAATGTACCTAATGTCAAAATGTCCATCGTCAGTGGTCTAGGCTGTGTGTTGATTTTCTGTCAGTCAGTTGAAAGTTTAAATTATACGATACGGGCAAATTTTCCATGAAATACTTAGGTTTTTAAATATTTAATCGAAAACGTGAAATCTTTTTGGAATCGTTCATTGTAAAATGTTACATTGTCCGTATTTTTTTTTTTTTATATTTTTGGTATTATTTACTCACTGCCCGCAATGCAAATGCATTTTATATTAGAAATCCCATAAATAAATAAATAAATAAATTAGTATAAATGCATTTCGGTATTAACATAATCGATTTTCGCCTACCCGTTGTTGAGATATTCCACTTTTCAGTTTGGTAAAGGCGAGGGGGAATAGCAGAGCACCATTTGAGTGACGGCACGGGACGCGGATTTGAATAGAATATATCACATAGATTATCATTTTCGAATCGGAATCAGGTAGTCGTTTAGGAAGCCCTTAATCTCGAGAATTACGTTACCGACGTTACGATGAAACGTATTTAACGTTACCGTTAAAAGGTAACGGAACGCGCTTATTTTCTTCGTATGTACCTGAAAACGCGGAGACGGATAATCGTAACGGCCGCACGACGGCCGGGGGAAAATTCGACTCTACACTCGTGTTACGGTGACGCGGAGTTCCGTTACTCGCCGGTTCGTTTTTTATTCCATATTTTAATAACGCTAACGTTTATAGTTTATCAGTCGAATCGCGCGTAAAAAAAAAAAATAAAAACACGAATAATCGAACGTACATATAGAGAAATGTAAACGCGTTTTCACGCGAAAGACAATATTTCCCGGTATAAAATCGCCCAGTCTGTTTTTCGCGAATGCCATTGCCACCATGCCGCGCGACACGTCGGTTTACCGCCGTCCCGGGCAAGCGCGTCCGTGGGCGACCACCGGTGTACGCATTCGACGCGTTCGACGCGGACTTCACGCGTTACTCGCGTTTCTACGCGCGGATTGTTTTTACCGTTCGCGCGCGCGGGGCCCGTGGAACGCGGGCGTAAAGGGAACGCGGGGCTTCGGCGGGTTCGCGGCGAAAAACGAGAAAACGGTACACGGAAACCCGATGGGCGAATGCGCGGTCCCCGCGGTCCCCGTGACCGTCCGCGCACGGTCCGACGGTCGGCCGCGTACGGCCGGAGCGCCGACCGGTCGACCGCCGGGCACAACGACGATCACGTTGGCGTGCGATAACCGGCGGGTCGGTCGACGATCCGTTCGTCGTCGGCGGCGCGGCATCGCATTGCGTGACCGGTGTATACGAGGTTTGGCTATTAAGCCACGAGACTGCGCGCGCATAGAGCGTCCCGAAAAGGTTAGGGGAAAACCGAATACAGCGCCGGTTGGCTGGAAGTGTCTATTACGCCGGTACGAAATTGGGTTTTTGTCGGTGCATTAGTATTTTTTCTGTAGCGTTTAGAAACGAACGTGTTTTATTCTCTTGCCGAAAACGATGCGTGACGAAAAACACGAGCAACGGATAAACGTAAAGTTTTCTCGTCAAACTAAAAAAAAACTCCAAATGAGTGCTATAAGTTGTTGAAAGAGGCCTATAGTGAGGATTTCCTATCTCGGGCGCGTGTTTTCGAGTGGCATAAATTATTTTCTGAAGGTCGAGACGGCACCGGAATCCAATTCAGTCGTAATCCAAATTCAAAACCATGCTCTGATCGTTTTCTTTTGTTTTGCGCGCTAACGGACGTGTGCGGGTGTGGGCGCGTTTTGGCCGGCCGCGTTCGCTGTCGGTTACGGCCGCACGATCTCGGCCAACGGTCGCGGGTCCGCGAAAACGACACGTTCGCGAACGACATTAATCCGATTCGTAAAAAATACGTACAGTGACCCAGTTGCATTTGGTCATTGGCCGAAACGCGCCTAATTACCGGCTTGATACCGGGCCGTTAACCGATCGATAACCGAACATCGTAACCGTACGTTCCGTTTGGCCGTGAATATGTCAGTAACGTACGGCCCGAAAAAATCGCCCGAAACGACTTGTTTACAAAACACAGTAACCTAGCTACGTTCGGTTGTTCGCCGGAACACCCCTGATGTTGACAGGTTTTACTACGGCGCGTTTTTCTCTTGCCCTCGTCCGCAAACGACTTTTTTACCGGAAATCGAAGGGGGGGGGTGTCATTTTAGCTGTTCAATAGCGACACAAACATTTGAACCGGACCGTTCTCTCTGGACAATTTTCCATTCGCTCCGTTCGCTTAAATTATCAAAACATTTTAAAAGTATAGTTTGAATCCCTCAAATGACGCCCGTGCC